CGAAAATAGCATTTCTAATGTTAAAGTTCCTAATATTTGGACATGTCTACAACTGTATCTCTGAGATTATTGTGACCGGGCCAAATTAAACTTGGCATGATGATACAATGCTGGTTGATATATGTTATTTCTGTGTTCAACCCAATAAGGCTGACTTATAGTTGGTTATGTTTTTGCTGTGGTCTCAATATTTTAATGCACCATATCATCAACTGTCTGGGCTTGTTTATAGTAACTATAAATTACGATGACTCAAGAAGACCAATAACAAATTATTTGCATCATAACACCATTTATTTTGAACATCTCAGAAACAACAACTTATTTTACTCTTACCATACATGTTATGGGTTACAAATGCATATTTTAAGGTAAAACATTTCCACTTTTATTTATTTTTCAATGATAGCCAGTGATTAACCTAACAAAAGTCACTTTGTTTTGGGTTTTCAGAGGAAGTTATGTAGATCTGCACTCCCTAAAGTACCAAGCAAGAAGAAAAAACGTCTATCAAGAAGACAGAGGGGTAAACCATGGAAGTTTGGAAAAATAAAAGGAGCTTAGCCATAAAATGAATAATTACATTCAACAATTATTATGACAGATCAACAAGGCCATATTTATTACAATGGTGCAATATTTAATTGTAAAAATCCCATTCTGCTGCATACTTTTATCTTAGTGTATCATATTTACAATACATACCTGTAATATACTATTCCTGAAGAATAATTTATTGAAACAAAATTCAGATGCTATACTGTGAAATTCAAGATTTTAATTATATGAATAAACTTAAATTATTGGAAATGTTTGTTACTTATGGTTGTTGAAAAATCCTGTGAATGCAAACTTCAAGTTTGCAACACTATAGTATTTGATGTTGTGGTTTCTCACAAAGTTAATTATAGATTTCCATGGCTGGCTGTCTATAGAGATGTTTGCAGTTTTACAGTAAGTTACATTAGGTACATGGAAGACTGCAGTGCAGTCGTAACTGTATCTAAATTACATGAACTGAATACTCAAAAAAATAGGCTCAATTTTTTTTATTTATGAATCAGCTTTTAAATAATGTTTACACTTCATTAAATGCCTATGTCATTTTCCAGATTTAATATAATATGAATTGATTTGATTTTTAGTTTGCTATATGTCTGTCCCCTTTGAAATACGGTACATGTATTTGCTCTTTCTGAATTACAGGTATAACGTTTTTTTGTGGGGCGCCCTCAACTGCAAATTTCGTTTTTTTCTCATGGATGCCATTCAGCATTCAAGGCTGGTACTACTGTGTTTTCAATCACGAATACTACGGTTGGTAATTAATAATTGGCGGCTATCTGAGGATTCCTACTGGAATACATGTAATAGGTAAGTAAATCAACACAAAAGTCTGGTGTTAGGTTAGGAGCTACTGTAAACGAAATGCTGAATTACTGTATAGGAGATAGACATATCTCAAATTCTTTCACTGTAAGCTTAAGTGAGCGCTAGATTTCATTGCACATCAGCTTAAACAATAAACGTAGTAATCGTCAGTAGCACTTAGATGAATATTCTGTAAATTGTTCAAACGTTACCACGAAAACTTGCAAAAAATAAGAATACTGAAACCCGGACTGAAATCCAGGAAGTACGGTACCATAGTGCGCCCTCAGCAGGTCAACAATTTCATTTCCACGCTCAGACGAAGGTTTGTGACTGGTGTTATATATTTACAATGCTTTATGTGGACATCGTGCAAATTTATTTTCAACAAGTGAAAACTTCAAATGGGGGAACCCCTAAAATTTACCTTTACAGTCTGTTAGTGCCTATGATGTAGCAGAAAAATTTTGTAAATTTTTCTGTTTGTTTTTCTATTGAATGTGTGTGAGATTTTTTTTTTTAATTATTTTTTTCAAATATTAAATGAGTCACCCCAGCTTCTAATGGTCAGTCCCTTAGTTCATCTTGTTTTTTTCTTGTTGTAAAATTATATGCTGGATTATATGCCAATTTTGGGTTTGCTAATTGGTGGCTTATTAATAAGAATGATCTAATTGATATCAAGTACTTTTGTAATAGTTCAATGTCTAGGTGTTAATATTCCCCTAATTGATAAATTAATCTCTGCATAGTAATTCAGATATGCTGCCACACCCAAGACAACACAATATTATTAAACCTCGTGGTTAAGATTAATAACAGCACCTCAGACTGGACAATATATACTGTAAACTGGGTTTCACATTTTCATTTACATATTGTATTTGGACAATCATGTGAAATATTGAATGATGTATAAATCATGGAAAATATACAATGAGCATTTTTTAACATGTACCGAAACAATGTATTAGAATGTATAGGGATAATGCGAGTGTACATTATTGAAATTGGTTTCCGTTGATTTAATCAAAGGTTATGGATTTTCAGTGGTAAATATATTGATAGTACTGCGGGTTATAAGGTTTTAAAATGGGGTCTTAACATGTAAGATCTTTTACAATCATTTCCTGAACAGCGTATAGGAAGTACTGTTAATCAGAGACCAGATGAATCGACCAGAAGAACCTGCTAAGCTCATTTTACCACCGCCTCCGCCGCCGCCGCCACCAGCAGCACCATTATTCTGCAAAGCTGTTTCCATGGTAACCCCATCTGATGCAAGCATTAAAGATACTGATCCGAAAGAAGAGATTAGACAATCAATAAAAAGATTTGTAAAGTACGTATAACTGGTCATACCCGGTATTCATCGTTCTTATATTGGGGATCATTCATTCTTCTTTCTTTTCTTTTTTTAAGTATGACTGAACTTGCTGAAAAATGAGGATGTACTGTAGATGTATTAATTAATTACAGGGTTTTAATTTCGCTATTTTCGCTGATAAGTAAAATCCGCTAAATTAAATCTACTTGAACATGTAAAATAACAATAAAACTCATTGTATGACAAATTCGTGAAATTAAAACACAGTGAATATGATCAAAATAGTGAAATTAAATGTCAGTGAAAATAAATGGTTTTACAGTACATTCCAGTGATCGTGGCAACACTGTGGGCCTCATTATTGTATTTAGTGCACCGGATATCATATTTGATGTATTTCTGAAGGAGCTTCATCAAATTATTAATTTCCTCATTTTGGTCATTTCTGATTTATTTTGCCCAATCTTCATTTGGCAAATGTGTTTAGTTTTTTGAAGCAGGTAAATTCAAAATTTAAACAAATTCTTTGTAACTGACCTCATAACTGAAACACAGGTTTTATATGTTGATGGTGTAACCATCTTTCTTCCCCACATTGTTCAATTCCTCTAATTCAATATGGTTATGTACCACAATTATCAAGTACCAGTAACTACGATTTAACTAATTTATACAATTTATGTCACAAATTTAAGAGGTTTTCATCTAATAACATTGCTGTTGTGAATATTCATAGCTAAATTTGTATTTAATTAGTGACATACTCGGTGACTTGATCTTGATCATATATCCATGCCATAACCTGGTTACAGCACGTAACCATGGACATTCAAGAATTCCCATGGGCCAATTCAGGATAGCTGTGGTACAAATACACATGTATCTTGACAACAAAAACTGATATACATGTATATGCATGATATAAAATTTTTATCATTAAGTGACAATAAAAATGCTACAAACTGAACCTTTAAATTAGGGCGAAACCATTTTTTCAATGTGGGGTTAGGTTAGAATAGAGGAGCAGAATTGTTCTCTTCTTTCCATTTTTTAAACTTGACGTTACTGAATTTTTAACACAAAAATTGTATGTAATTTGTATATTCAGGTATATTTTCAGTAATCCCTGTTTGTTTATGTACCACCTCTTGGTATAAAACAAATCCTTCCTTACTGTTAAATTAATGAGTAGAGTTCATTCATGGTACATGATCAAATACTAGTAATTTGGCTCTCAGCTATTTTATTACCATGACGATATTAGATACATCACAATCTTAATAAACCTATATTGCTTGTGCTCGATCAATAGTAATATAAGTTTCACAATTAATTTGTTCAGCTGGTGAACTTTCCATCACAGCTAATACTGCATGCAATCTAATACCCTTTTAAGCGTAAAAAAAAAAAGAGTGACATATGTTTTTTTTTTTTTTAGAACATTGCCCGAGTGTACGATGTGGTTTGCATGTAATACACATGTCATGTCATTTCTTCAGGATGGCCCAAAGTGAGTTTATTTTTGAAATTGACAGTGCTAAGTATAGGGTAGAAAATTAACATATTTATCTGTACGTCAATACAGTATTATATTACTGTGACGTTATACGTTTTGATTGGTTAAAATAACGAGACACATATTATTTTATATACGTCACTCAAAAATGGTTCAACAAAAAATTGTCATTTTCGCCAGCCAAGGTTCATTGAAGGGCCATGGTCGTCACTCCGTGTTCTGTTCGATATGGAACTCAAAGCAACATGCACAATGCTTGTAAAATACATTGTTTGTTTACATTCAAAATTGGAACACATACTATGCAACAACCACCGCCATTTAATTCAAACTTATATTCAGTGTCGCTGAAATCAACACAACGGCTCTGACATGTTTTCCTGATAAATAAAACACTAATGATGCGTTTCCATTGGAAATCAAACTTACATGTTTTTAACAGTTAATCTGGGATGTGATAAAGACGACAAAATCTATTAGTTTAAATTTGAAATTGATGCAAGTTGTTGATGCGTCCAGCTCACTGGCACACCCAATCAAATCATACAATTTGCCTGAGTTGAAAAACCTGGTACAGCTTTTTCTATCACAGTCATGAACAGGTTTCGTGAGGATGGCCAGCAAAACCTTATGAATCAAACAATGATGACAAACTGTTTTTTTCTGAAATCAGTGTGTAACCATAAGAAACTGCATAGAAACACTAGTTATATGAACTCCTCAATGCTTGAAAAATTCTCTAGTACCTGTCAGAGAACGACGTCTAACAGAAGATTTTTTTTTCCAACTTTGTCAATTTGCCCACCACAATCTAAAATAGCATGTCAAATACCCAATGACATTACATTAATAGCTAAATTCTCGCATTTTCACTTTCAAAATAAAACAAAAAAATTATTTGTGGTCAATTTCCTCTGTTGTTGTTTACATGGTGTTAAGCATGAAGACTTTCAGAGATGTTTATTTTCAAGATAAGTTTAAGAACATGTTTTTCTTTTGTCAAACCATTATACTGCAGGTGTGGTCTGGTAGCATTGTGTATGGCGGCCAACTTGCTGAATGGCAACAACGGAACAGACTTGGATGTTGTATTCAGACACGCTCAGAGTCTTGGATACACTTGCAAAGGAGAGATGTTTTCAGGTTGGTAGCATTTGTGACAGAAATGAAAAGTGATTCCGAATATGATTTAGTGTGGATATTAATTGAAGTGGAGTACAGCAGACATTTGATGTCAATACTGTAAAATACTTTATTTTTGCTTGGAATTAATTTTCGTTATTTTCATTAAAGGAATGATTCAGTGAAAATAAAATCCTTTATTCCTATATTTTAAATTCAACTCATCAAAAATCAGTGAAAATAAATTCCATACAAAACACCCAAAATGTCTTTTCAGCAAAATCAATTCCAGCTAAAATATAGTTTTTTACAGTAGTCAATTTGCGTTAATACCACAAGGGATGTTAGTCAGCCTGTCTGGTAAAAAACAATTTAAGTATGGGATGTATCTTTTTAGGCTCTTTTTGATTAGACTAGATTTCGTTAAAAAAGTTGTCATAAATCACGTCCAGTAATAGCGCAAAATTGGACAAGTATTCAGCTTATTCATTTTTAATGATTTTTCATCAGAAATGTTACAAGGCAGAAATCAAGCCCATTTCATGATAGAATACGATATCCATCTTTCTAAATATATATATTATGACATGTATTAAATGTCATCTTCATCATCATTTAAAAAATGGTTAAAAGGGTGCAAATCTACCTTAAATGTAAATGACACTCATTTTTTATATTAAAAAATATATTAAATATCATGCTAAATATATTTCCATTATCAGTAGGATTTTAAAATACCAAATTTGTCAATTTTCATCAACCAAATGTATCTCAAGGTATATATGATATATAGCTCCATACTATTTTTAGCAAATTTCACACAATGCATGAATTACCTGATTCTTAGTTGTGATTATATAACTAATATCTTGAATTAGCTATTCAAAATAAAATGCTAGCTAAAATGGCATGTTTTACAATATGGTATATTAAAATTATGTTTTTGTGATTTCACTGGACCTATGCTGAATCTGCAAATTTTATGTGTAGAATTCTTTTTCGCTTGTTAATGCACTAGGCTCATTTCAGACTCCCCTTCTGGCTACTTCTCTTCTCTGTGCATAAACAAGATTTTATATATTATTATACACAACACATGCACTGTACCAAACATCATTAAACATCGAGATGAAATGAAATTTTACATGTGTCGTGACTATCCTGTTACTAATGAACATCAAAACATCAACCTGGCGTCAACAGAAAATCTTTCCAAGTTGCTGTCATTTTAAATTATTAAACATGTGTAATCTGCTTGGTTTCTATTATGTAATTATTTTCAGCTACCACAATGGGAATGTTATGTAATGAAGCGCATCAAATTGACTGTACTGTGAAAAAGAACGGCTTACGGGACAAGACAATGATACTCAATCATTTATCTGCTGGACTACCCATGCTTGTACCGTATCCTTTCATTTGATCTTTTATTGAAATATTAATAACATGCTGAATTTAGGGATTAATAAACAATTTGGTAGTGAAATTTAAACCGCTTTGATGTGAAACTTTTGAAAATCATGATGAAATGTTTAGACATCGGTACATATTATTATAAATCCCAGCTAATTTACATGTACTTTTTTTTGATCTTTAAAGACTGACTAGTCACGGAGATTCACTGACAAGTTGAACACTATAAAAAAAAAAAAAAATTGCCCACCGCAATATTCTTTTTCACCATCTCAGAACCAGGAACCATTTTTTTTCTTTATAGCTTGGAGGATTGGATCGAGAATACCTTCCAAATTTTTATGAAAATAAATTTTTCAAGCATGTAGTTTTTATGCTACATGTTGGCAGGACGTCATCAAAGTTTTAATGTATTAAGGGATTGTACAGTATAAATGACAAAATAAAAAAACATTTGATAGAGAAAACAAGAAAAAAAATATCCAGCAATATTCTCCTGAAAAGTATTTTTTATTAATAGTCAACCCCTATTCTTTATATAATTAACATCATTATAGTGTCTTGCAACTGAAGCAGTTGTCATAAAACGAGATGAAGGCAAACACGAAACAAATTCTAAACTATTTTGCTGCATTATACTGAAAATTACCTAAATACCAGGAAGATTCGTGTCAGACACTGTTTTGAAGACATTATTCAAGATTATTTTCATTTAAAACGGGGGGGGGGGGGGTCGTCATTCTGTGCATGCGTCAAATGGCC